TAATTTTATACTAATGTTGATATATTTTTATCAAATTTTTATAAATTTATATTTTATTTAAAAATAAAATTATTAGTATTTTCTTAAAATCATATATAATCATATTATATTAACAAAGATAAAAAATAAGACAAAATGAAGATATATCTCGCTTGATTGTGTGAGGACAAAGATAATAAAACAAAGTAAAAATGTATTAGATGGGAAGCACATGGTACAAGTGCTTGATGCATGTTATGGTGGAGCCAGCCAAACATTAAATTCCATGAGAGGCTGTCACCATCGAGCCACGAGGATACCGGCTACGACCCTTGTTGCACTAGACCCGGTCTCACGGTCCCACCCCAAATTTTTTATAAAGATTGAAAATTTGCGATTGAGGCACTCTACTATTTCTGTTTTGCACTTAACTCCCTTATAAATATTTATATTGCAATTCAGTCCTATAAAAAGTATGTTTCTTTATTTGGAATGAATTTCATTTTTACTCCTTTTCTAATTTCTAGTAGAGAACTAGAGATTGTGAATGATAAAGGGGTTCTTTTGAATGAAATCTGAAAGTGTCTTGTTTATCTAAAGACTATTATGATAAGTTTAACATTCTCATTTATTTTATTTTACCAGGTAAATTTCTAATTCATCAAAGTGATATCGTATGCAATAATTTATATGGTAAACTCTAATTGGATAAGAGTTATCACTCTCAATTACCATATAAAACTCTTAGTCCTTGTAATTGTTTTTACCGAATAAGATTATTGGTCTTTGTTATCACTTTTATTGGGTAAGATTTCGAGTTCTTGCTATATAGATCCGGTAAGATAAATGACCCAATAAATACTTACCAGGTAAGCTTTTGATAAAAGGCTCTTTAATTTATTAATGTTAATATTTGAAAATTTTAAGAATTTGGAGTACATGCATATATGTTAGCTTTACGATAGAGTTGTTTAATTATACGTTGATAAGTCAAAACCACTTCTCTAATTAGGGTTGTAGCTACATTATATATCGTCGTAAGCCTTGACAACAGTACTTCTTTGGTTTTTTATCTAAATATTGTGAAAGTTACATATAAAATGGTAAAAGGATATATTAATGTTGCATATTTTTACAGAAATAATTATTAATTTTTGTAAAATCATACTAAGTACCTTTCTTTTTTACTAATTTTAGATTAACTAACAAAAATAAATTAATATAGAATTCAAATTGAATTAAAGGAGTAATTCTTGTTGGATAATAAGTTAAAATCCAATAAATTATACCATTATTTACAAATTATAAGAATGTGAATTTTATTAATATATACAATTATAATAATAAAATTATGATCCCCCCCTCTCTCTCTATTTATATATTATTAAAGAACCTTGTATATTATAATAACTGCAAAACTATTATCATAAAGAATTATTTAACATAACTTTTTCCATCTAGAACTATAATTTAATGTATTGATTAACATATATTTGTTTCATATGTATTCGTTTTGCAGTTTAAAACTTTTTATTTTATTTTTTGTTCCACAAACACATAAAAATGTTCACATTGTGAAACAAACACATTTATAAACCAAATATACATTTAATCAATACATTAAATCAAAGTCGTAAATGAAAAAATCATGTGAAATAGGACATGACGTATTGTTTCTCAAGGAATGAAGGCCCCAATATATATATATATATATATATATATATATATATATAGGTTGGGTTATAATGAGAAACGTAAGAAAAGATCTCTACTCTTTGATCAATCATAATTAAATGCTAACACTAGTAAGGTGCATCGAAATGCAACATATCAATGCTCTTCTAAAACGCAATTCATGGGTGGTCATGAGATTAAAAGTGATCAATGATTTAGATCTTTTCTTATGTTTCTTGCCATAACTTTCATTTTTACACGCTCCTTCACCTATGTATGTATGTATGTGTGTGTATATATATATATATATATATATATAGTTGTGTTTCGGTGAAAATGGAAATTAAATGAGAAAAGTAAGAAATGATATATATATATATATATATATATAAATGTGAGAAAGATAAAGTAGAAAGGGATTTATGTGTAGTTAAAAGAAAACTTGGATTTATATTCCGATATAAATAATAGTAAAGATGATTACAAAATGAATCAGTAGTTGGTTTGTTTTAATTCCAAATATTTTATTATAAAAGAAATGTTTAAAAAAATAAAAATAAATAAATAAGTTAAGCGCCATCTTTTTGGGTGGCCGGTTGAGTTGATGACTGACGCCATTTGCCAGCTTTTGCATTTCTAATTGTAATTGCCCCTTCAGCCTTTGCTTTTTAGGCTTTCACCTCAAAAATTCCGATCTTCCCTTCTTCTTCTTCAACAAAAACCCTACTTATTCTTCAAACCATATCCATGGCCAGCAACATCGGAATGATGGATAGTGCTTATTTCGTCGGTCGGAATGAGCTTCTTTCATGGATCAATGCCAGGCTTCAACTCAATCTTTCTCGTATCGAAGAGGTGTTCCTAATCCTTCTTTCAATTTAGGTTTTTTTTTTTTTTAATTCCTCAGTTCATACAATATAATTACAGAAATGGACACCTGAACGAATTCACTTGCAAACTAGTCGTTTATAGAAAGTAATTTGCACTATGTTTATTAGCTTGTTAATTATGAACTTGTCCTCTAGGCTGCTTCAGGTGCTGTGCAATGTCAGATGATGGATATGACTTATCCAGGTGCCGTTCCAATGCACAAGGTCAACAATATATTTCATTTTTGCTACTCCTTTCATGCTTTTGGTTTAAGCTAGAGTTTTCATATGACGTGGTTTTCGATTACAGGTCAACTTCGATGCAAAGACCGAATACGATATGATCCAAAACTACAAAGTGCTCCAAGATGTGTTTAACAAACTCAAAATTGACAAGGCAAGTACTTTCTGCATTCTTATTCTTCTAGAATCTATGCCTAGCTTAGGTACTTCCTATTTGAAAGTTAACGATATCACCAAAAATATGTGGAACATATTACTTTCCAAAAGAGCCCTTGAAGAGAGGGAAAGTTCCAACATATATTGAGGAGAAATGGTCCAAGTCTTGTTGATGTGGACTCTAACTCACCCTCTCCAATGGAATCTAGACTGGCACAGATTAAACGAGCACAGATTGCACCAAGGTGTTTAGTCCCTAGAGTGGTAGACCTTGACTCTAATAATGTGTGAGAATAGGTGGAACCCATTAAATTGGGCTATTTAGCTCGATGACCTTCTCCAGAAGCTTGTTTTTCGAAATGAACCTTCAGTGGATGTGTAAGTTCTACATGAGCATACTGTTTTGAACCAGGGGTATGTCAGATGAAGGTTATTGAGCTAGTTTCTTTAGAAGGTCATGCACTTAACCGGGAACTTATTTAATGCCATTTATTCAAAGGACCCCATTAGGTTACTTTTGAAAAGAGCTCACGAGAAGAAAAGGAGATTCCAACATATATTGGTCAAAAACAGTCCAAGTTTATCCGATGTGGGACTCTAACAGAAGCAATGCAAATAAGATTAGGATTTAGTGATAATGTGACGGACAATCATGAATATTGAATGTATGTTTATGTAAGAAACATTGTTTTTCAAGTTCTAATTCATTAGTCTTTATGGGTGTTGCTTTTTGTCCTAAAAGGATCGACGATTTTGATTTTGTTGCAGCATATTGAAGTAAGTAGGCTAGTGAAGGGCCGGCCATTGGACAACTTGGAATTTCTACAATGGTTGAAACGCTATTGCGATTCTGTAAATGGTGGCATCATGAATGAGTATGTTATGATCCATAAACCAAAATGTGTTTCTTTTCTGCACTAGATCTTTTAGTTATATGTTAGTTATTTTTGCAGGAATTATAATCCTTTGGAACGTAGAAGTAAGGCATGTAAAGAACGTAATTTTAAGGCCTCCCAGAAGAATTCAAAGTCTCTGCAAACAAATAACTCACAGAATCCCGGTTCAGGGGAAGGAATGAACATTCACAAGATAACTGGTGAGCTCATACTTGATCCTTGACTGCATTTCTTTGATGTAATTCATCTTCCAGTTTTTGTTTTCATAAAGAAAACCTCTTTGATGTCTGGATATGAACCTTGTTTGGAATTGTAAACCATCTGCTGCTTCATGAATATACATACATACGTACACACATTACATATATATGTATGTGTATATTTCAAGTGTTTATATAATGTTGTTTCATATGTGAAAAATGCAGTGTTTATACAATGTTGTTTCATATGTGAAACGTTCAGGACTGTTTTTTCCACACACAAAACAATCATGAACGTTTCACATATGAAACAACATTGTATAATATTGCATTTTCACACGTGTTGTATGAAAACTGGTTTGTAAGTTTGTACTATTTATTGGGTTTGTAAATGATTAGACGTCTGTATATATATCATGATTCATGCACTCCTTTCGTTCCTAAATAAATACAACATGTGACTAGGCGTTATAGTTTGGCAATTGGTTAAATATCTAAAATGCCATTTAATAAAGAGGGTAAATGATAAAACTGGACTGAAACTATCCCAAAACACAAAATGTAGGATTTAGTTTAGGACAACCAAAGATGGAAATTTTTGCATGCATTTTGAGATGAATGAAGTGATGGGCAAATTGTTGAACCGTGTAGATTATGTGTTCCATTTTTTGTTTCCTGCATGTATAGTTGTGTGGATATATATGATTATTGATCCTAACATTGATTGCTTTAGGGACTAAGCAGAAACCGAGTGCAGTAGCAGTTGAGTCTGGTTCTTCAGAGGAAATTCAGGCTTTGTCCAATGAGGTAATGCCAATTGAATTTTAGGTTCCATCCCTAAGTCCTTAGGTTTTGATCGTATGATCTATTGAGAGATTGCCATTTTCCAGAACATGGATGTGATACACCAATAAATAAATGATGTCATATTGACCAAGAGTTTGAGAAATGTTAACACTTTGATTTTGCTGCTGCTTTTATAATACTGTCTTGATGATATCATTCAGATCACAGAACTGAAGATATCTGTGGATCTTTTGGAGAAAGAAAGAGATTACTATTTTGCAAAGTTAAGGGATATTGAGATACTTTGTCAGGCTCCTAAATTGGAACATATTCCGGTAACATGTTCCTGAATTAACTTTTCATGCTTAATTGATGTGCATATTTTGGAAATCCCTTGGGTTGTTACATATACTTGCACTTTATGATGTTGACCAACTCCAAGCTCTCATAATGTTTTTTTCGGTATAAATCTCTTATCCACATTCTTATGTGGCCATACTGTGCGGTGGGATTATCTAGGACGACCTTCTCATCGATTTAAGAGCGCTTTTACCTAACTAAAGAACGCCTCTTATACTAACACTAGAATGCCTCAAAATCTGTCAGAAGGTTATTCTCCTAAATAACCCGTGGTGGGGTTGTTGGAAGGTCATGTATTAAAAAATTCTGGAATAATGTTAGTTTTCTAAAATCTAAATAACCCTGGTACCTTATAGTCCACTTCTCTATCGATAATAAGGGTCTGTTCATTAGCAGCTTATTGAGCTTCACAAGACTCACGGCTTATTCGGTCAATTATACATAACTGTTTGGTAGTTATTCAGTAAACTTCTAGGGGATGCTTTATTCCAAAGCCAAGTTTTTTTCCAAACCTGTTCCCTCCCGATTGAAAAACATGCTCCTATGAAAAAGACCTTTCAAGCGAAATCCTTCTCAATCTATACAGATAGATTAGAGGCTATTTGGTTGGTCTTGTATGGATAAACCTGTCTGTGTGGATTAATCTGTCTGCATAGAACGGGAAGGTTTTTGTTTGGAAGAGGTTTTTTAAAGATGGAAGGAGTGTGTTTTCAATTGGGAGGGGCATATTTGGAAAAAGAATAACTTGTCTTTCTGCAGAAAGCTCCCCTTAGAAGCTTATTGAATAACTAAGTCACTACCAAACAGTCATGTATAGCAAACTGAATAAATTGTGAGTCCCTTTAAGCTCATTAAGCTGCGAACAAACATAACCTTAATGCAAAACCAACCAAACAGCCCCTAAAATTGCATTTCATGCATTTTTTGGGAAAAACCTTAAATCCAGAGTGCTTCCCATAAAAACTTCGTGAACGAGTGACTTGCTGCCTATTTTTCAACACTATAGTTAGATTACTCTTTTGACACCCTTAAGCACAATTGTGTTTACCTATGGAAATTACCGTGATCTTAATGTCATAAGCACGCTTCTTTTCTAGCTACACATGAAAACTATTATGACCCGACAAAAATCATGGTTTACTTCCATTCTAATGGAACTCTCTCCTTGATACATTGCACAGATGGTTATGGCAGTTAAGAAGGTACTGTATGCCGCAGACGAAGGGTCTGCACTAGCCGAAGCTCAAGAAATTGCATCTGCTAACCAATGAATGACAAATGTGCAACCGACGATGGTGATGATGAAGACAATCTTCATTTTCACTCTGTAAAATTAAGTTATCTCGGGGACGTTTCACCACATGAAGAACAAGAACATGATTAGGTGAGGTAGATTTTCAGTGTGTTGATTCTGGATGTATAATTGAGCCACGTGCACCAGAAACTCAGTTGCACTCTTCTTTGGTAGAGCAAAAGTGCCGGTTTTATTTTCTTCTTGAGGTTCTGCTCGTGTCTTTTTCAAACTCATGTCCGATGTCCAAGGATTGTTATGGGCAAAGTTTTTACACGTTTTTTTATTGATTTAATAGATCTTCTCTCCATAATTGAACTGGCCGAACAAATTATGTAATCTCTACCTAGTTGTTGCTTTTGAGTGATTGGAAATAGGTTGGATCTAACACCATCGGCTAAGGAAGATGCATGCATCTATACACCTTATAAGGCTGCAGATGGTATCTATCAATTGGGTTGAACCTCCAAAAATGAAATGCCAGAAATCATTATCAGTTCTGTGAGAAAGTTTCTGACTCGATTGAATTAACTAGAATGAAATGAATGTTAAAGTAAAAGATGATAGTCGGTTTGTCAACAGACAAACAACAAAAGTTGCACCTCTTTGGGTGTGGTTTCCCGAGTACTTTTAGAAGAAATCAACCTGCATGGGTGTTCTCATTACTTCTGCAGCCATATAACCAAACACTTTCTTTTTATTCAAGTGACGGATTGTGGATTTGGAAGTCGGTCCATTCGAGAAGAGATGGTCATTTTAAAAAAGTTGCAGCATGCTAGGTAGACCCAAATTGGCGACAATGAACTTAAGACTCTAACGCAATAACCTAAAGTGGCATATTGACTCAAAATTTTGCCATATTGTGTTTATTTGTGCAAAAAGATCGTGTTTTTTTATGTAATCAGGAAGTGTTGAGAGTCCCACGTTAATTAGACTTGGATCATTCCTAGTTGGAACCTCCATTCTCTCATAAATGACTCTTTTGGAGGGTAAATCTAGGGGTTCCATATGTTATCATATGATATCAAGTCGAAGTCTGTCATTCTAGAGACTCAACATTTGTCTAACTCCCTCTCGACACTCTGGGGTGACTTGTATCCGCATAGCCTTAGTTCGAGAGGATGTGCTAGAGTCCCACCTTGGCTAGACTTGAACCATTTCTCCTCTTAGTCCTCTATTTAAGTTGGAACCTCCTCTTTTCTAAAGGCTCTTTTGGAGTAAATCTAAGAGTTCCATATATTCTCACATGGTATCAGGATCAAAGTCTATCATTCTAAGGACTCGATACTTTGGGGCAATCTGTACTTGTCTAGCCCTCTCACATGTCTAGCTTCCTCTCAACACTCTGAGACAATTTGTGTCAACTTAGCCTCCCTCCATTGGAGGGGGCATGTTAAAGTTCTCCTCTATATAAGTTGGGACCTCCTTTCTCTTAAAGGACTCTTTTGGAGAGGACCTCCTTTCTCTTAAAGGACTCTTTTGGAGAGGACCTCCTTTCTCTTAAAGGACTCTTTTGGAGAGTAAATATGAAGGTTCCATATATTCTCACAGAAAGAGTATTCTACAAAAAGAAGGGGTTGGGGTACATACAAATGGCACAACTTCTTGATGATTTACTAGATAGGATAGCTAGCAAAAATGGAGATAGCTTCAACAACAAAACTTGGAAGAACATGATACAATCATATGGCACTTTTAGCTCATTGACATGGATACAAAGATCAAATTTTAACATGCTTGGATTAGAATTTGGTGAATCACAACTGATCATTATGGATGTGTCCGACAATAGCTACTGTTTTGCGGCCGTAACTATAACGGTCCTAAGGTAGCGAAATTCCTTGTCGGGTAAGTTCCGCCCGTGAAGTAAATCATCGCACCTACGGTCCAACCAATTGGCCAGGCCAGGATGCATCCATCCATTTGGTTTATTTGTAGGCGCCATTTTCATGATGAATGAAAATGAGATGAGACCACAAATAGACATGAGAAATGAATAAAAATGGGTTAGTATAATAGAGCCCATATATTCGAATTGAAATGAAAATTATACATATTTGATGTTTCTATTTTGTAAAACAACTCTTTGTTGATTGAAATAGATGATAATGGTAACTAATAATAAAGGGTCTGTAAATTAACATATGGATTATTAACTTCAGTCTATCAAGCAAGTAATGCAGTAGGCCACTAATCTGCAAACAGAGAATGCATACCTTCAAAACTGTCGGTCCATTGGACGTAAGTGATATCTAAAGGGTCCATTGCCTTCTGAGAGAAGCTCGGCCAAAAGTCCTGGAGGTTTTTCCAGCATATGAACCTGACACTCTGCACATCGGAGAAGACCCCTGGCCTACCAATCTGGCCAGGTCTTCTAACTGTAGTAGTATTGCACTAGTCAGTCAACAACATATTTCAAATTCTACTGGCAGTTGGGACAGATGGGTGTGTTTGGTTTTGTGGGATTTGGATTTCATGGAAGGATTTGGAATTGAAGGGATTTGGATTTGAAAGGATTTTGAATCGTTTGCGTGTTTGGTTCGTAGGATTTGGAATGTAATTGAATTCCATTTTTTATAAATAACTTGTACAAAATTACTAATAATAATTAAAATAATTAGATTACCTTTTTATTAGTTGATTATTACAAAACACATGTTTTTAACATATTTTAAAACATTATTACATATAAATCCTACAAAATTATGTGAAATACCAACCACACCTATGAGATTTCGAAATCCTATGTTTGTGGTATTTCAATGAAATCCCAGGATTTGAAATCTATGAAATCCTTCAAACCAAACACTGGATTGGAATGGAATTCAATTCCAAATCCCTCCAAATCCAATTCAAATGCAAACAAAATGGGATCATATGCTATTTGGAAAAAGTTATCATGTTTAATTTTTCAAGTGGCAAGTGCTTTAACATGCATATGCCTCAACTAAATATTCACTGTGAATAATAAAAAAAAACCTCATAAATTTGAGTGCATGCCATATAATGCAAGAATACTTTGTTTACCATGGGAATTTGAGTCTGTTAACAGCTATTGTTGTAGTCCAGAATTTGACTCATATTGAATGACAATCAGTTCCAGTAGTGTTCATTTCAACTTCAAATGAATCTTATAATATGTCGAAGATACAGAGCATAATGAGCCTAGAAACAGATGGAACAAACCTGTGTGGTGAGAGATTTTATTTCTACTTTTGCTACTTTGTTTTTCTCTCCTTCATCCCTGGCTTGTTTAGTTGCTTCTTTCAGTTGCAGTGATGTTGTTTTGAGCTCAGATTCTAGGATTTGAGCTTTCTTTGAAAGATACTCGACCTATATACAAAGACTCAAGTTATTTCCAACTAAATGCTATCAAGAAAGTATATTGCTTGTTATTGCATTCTTGCATAATGATGCATACTTCTATCACGTGCTAGCACAATATGTGATAAACGGCATATACCAAAAAATTCAGAGGATTTGGTTCGTAATAAAAATGAGTACCAGCAATACTTTCAAGGAATTAATTGCCAGTTTAAGATTAAAGTAGCACGAATAAGCATTTCCTGATTTCCAAATTTTCCATTTAGCATGAAAAGCATTTAGAAAGTGCAGCAAGTAATAGAAACCAGTTGTTTCAAACATTTTTTGCAAGATTGAGGATTAACCTGATCCCTCAAAGTAGATATTTCTTTTTTAGGATCATCATTCTTTCTCTTGGAATCATCTCCTTTTGCTTCAGGTAATGCAAGAGAAAGGGTAGTAGACGAAAATGACATGGAGTGATTAGGACTTGGTTTTGTGGAGATGGGAGATGGTGCTTGAAAACCGACTATTGCGCTTGGAAGGAAAGCTGCTATTCTTCCCGGGTCAAATACAAATGGAGATGAATTTGATGCATAAGAATATTCCTTTTGGAGACTTTGATTATGTAGAGAAAGTGCGCCACTGTTACCTGACTCCTGTGAAGTGTCTGGTTTTGAATGTTGGTTACCAGAAAGTCTGAATGAATCTAAGGAGGAGAGCCGAGCAAGTAGGCTTTGTGATTTATGATACGAGGACTTGCGTTCATTATCTGGACCTGATCTGTGATTGGTATTTGTCCTGCTGACTTTGGGAGGTAAATAACTCGATTTCATATCTGTTTCCTCCTTATTAAGCCTATAATAACAATCTTCACACACACGACAAGGCTTGTCCATGTTTGGAGCCAATGAAGCCTTCAAAGATTTCCTATTGCTACATGGTTTACAGAAAACAAGCCCACAATTGTAGCAGTTTTGACGCTTCCTTTTATAATTAAATTGTGCATGACAACCTGAACACATGGGAAGGTCAACAGCACACACATGTTTGCGAAGACAAATGGCAACTGTGAAATTGGATCCACATACCACACTTTTTACTTGTGTTTCGTGGAGAGCTTCAAGTAATGTAGGAATGTTCCTATCCTTGTTGTCCCCATGGCCTAACTGTCCTTTTGCTCCCTTTCCCCATGTGTAAACCTCATATTTTGAATTTAAAATCGCAACATGATGAGAACCACATGATATTTCTTTTATGCAACTGTCTTTGAGTTTTCCTTCAATGCACAAAGGAACATTACCAGTATTTTCAGGATTCCCTAGTTGTCCATAATCAGCACTTCCCATTGAGTATACCTGTCCTGAGGTGGTTAGAGCGACCGTCAGACTATGGCCACATGCTACTTGACAAAAGTTTTTATCATATAGTGAAAGTACGCAAGAGGGAAAAAATCTTGGATCCTTGTCATCATGCCCAAGTTGGCCTTTGTCTCCATTACCCCAAGTAAAAAGTTTCCAAGCAGGCGAGCTACCAGAAGTTGAAGGTTCATGATCAACCTCTACGATGGCAGCGGTATGCCAAACACCACAAGATACTTTAACCGTTCGTAGTCCTTTCAGAGCTTCAACTTCTCTAGGGCAATATGTGCCACTATTATCCCCATGGCCCAGGGCACCAAAAGTTCCATCTCCAAATGTAAACAGCAGACCTTCTGATGTTGCTGCGGCAGAATGCCATGGTCCACAAGAGATAAATGATATATGCATACCCTCAATCTGACCACCTACTTTTCTTGGAGTCCAGTAACTGGCTTCAGTCCCATGACCAAGAAGACCAGAGTTGTGGATACCATCACCCCAGGTGTAAAGATGGCCTGCTTGTGTTACAGCACAAGTGTGGTTTTCTCCACATGCGACTAGTTCAATGTTTGTTCTGCTGAGCTCTTTGATAAGCTTCGGGATTGAAACATCAGCTTCTACTCCATGCCCAAGCCTACCACCTGATCCCTCTCCCCAACTATAAACAGCCCGTTGTTTGGTGACTACCACTGCATGTGTACTTCCACAAGAGACTTTTCGAGCATCAAAAGCCATGCTAGACTTTAAAGCCTTGGGCAAAAGCGCATCCATTCTGGCAGAAGATGGGCTTCCCATTCTATGCACACCACCACCCAGCAATCCATCCCCAGATCCTTCCCCCCAAATGAAAACATCATGCAAAGAATCAACATCATCAAGAAGTGATCCCTGGCTAGAACTTGTGGTGCTAGGTAAAGTAAGCCGAGAACTATCTGCAAGGCTACGGGGATAGTTTTCATCTTGTCTCCTGAAAATTGTAAGCCATATGATTTGGCAAGATATTCATTTTGGTAGGAACATGTAACACATCATTTGCTCCTGGCGACATTTCAATTTACCATAGGACTTTATACTCGGTAATTTTTTCAACCCAGCGAGAGCTTGAATCGACTGCAATCAAGGTTAATAACCTAATTCACCAAAGTCGAAATTAAAGAGCGAGGAAGTGGAAAGTACCTCGTCAGCATTATGCTCCTCCAGGCTAATCCTCTGTTGGTCGGTCATTCATTCCTCCACACTTGCGTTCCAGCATCTAAAACCTGTTCAAAATGGCAAAGAACACCAATAATTTTCCATAAGAGAATCAAGTGAAGAGCATAATGAGCCAAACATTCAAGATGAGAAATACAAATCAGAAGCGTAAGTTAGACGTTTGACAACGGAAATGGCATTTTACAGCAATAGTCGCGTCGCGGCTCGGCTATTAGCGTAAGCAAAATGAGAGTCGTCAACAAGAATATATGTATATGTATATATATATATACATATAAAAATCAAGGAAAATGAAAACAAAAATCGAGGATTTTGAGTATGACATGAAACTAATTACCATTGGCATCGTCCAATTGTAAACACAGAATGATAACAAGAAAATGATTAGACAACATGTAAAACACAAAATACAAAAATCAAACCGTCCAAATATTGGAATGTTACGTTCGCAAATCGCTATTCCTTGTCCAGAATCTTGGTAAACGCTATGAACCACTGTAAATCCATGGACATATTCCTGTGTGGCGAGGATAGGATAGGAACAGAAATGGAATGGAGGAAATGGTGAAGAAGAACCAGTCCCTTGTAAAATTACCAACAGATTAAGTTGTTAAGAATTTATGGTTTGGAGTATGTAAAATTTTCTGACAGAAATCACAGAATAATTAAAATCTAAGTTTGGATGAAAAATGAAATAATTAATACTAATGATTTAAAAAAAAAAAAAAACAATTGTTTCCAAATACCTAAACTTAAATCACTAACAAATGTTGAAATCCTTTGTTTATGAATTTTGAAGATTCATTCTTAATAATGAATAAAACGAAAGAGAATAAAATTTGGTTAATATTTCAATTTCAACAGATTTATCTACAAACATCATCTAAGGAGGGAGAGAGAGAGAGAGAGAGATTTGTTTGCGTTATTTTATTGGAAACTCAACTCAGAAAAGTTGCTTATTTTGTAATGGTGTAATTATTTAAATGATAAAAGCCTAATATTATATATATATATATATATATATAT